ACATTATTGATCAGTTTTCTATTCTGATTTTTCAAGACACCAGCTAGGTAATCGAGACACTGTCAAATTATGCTTAATATCAAATTTACTTAAATTCCATCTTTAAGAGAATATCTATAGCCTTGAAGATAAATAAAACCTTATATAAAAGTATGGTTTGCTAGTTGAAAAGGGCTGTTATCACCATTAAGAAGCATTGTACACAACTACTGTATATATATATATTTTATAGCCATACGGTTCACTCTCTGAATGAATCCATTTCCACAGATTAGAGATGTTATCATTAATTGTCCTAAACACACTGTGATGCTAGTTTTTCCATCTTTATGGAGACCATGGGCTTCCTTTCTTTCCAATGTTTTATTCTTTTGCTCTACACTGTGTTACAAATCTGTAGAAATTTATTTTCAGAAAGGCTATTCATATTCCATAAGCCATAAACCACCCATCAAATGTAAAGATACTAAATATGTCATTGTTCATGCTATTGCGTTCATTTGCTGTGCAATTTCACTGCATTGGTATATAGGATTCATTCAAATAAAGCATGATTAAACTTATGAATCCCAGTACACACTGATAGCTATTCCAAGCATTAGAACCCAACCGAATCAAAAACAAACAAAGAAACTGTAGTTAGTGTTAATGAAACTTGGTGATGGTTTTTTACCTAAGATGATGACACATTTATTCTCCATTTCAACTGTTGAAGTATTACTTTCTATTAACCGCTTGTTGAAGAATATTTATGTTTGGTAGGTTTGATTTCGACATTATAGCAACCAAAATTGGTTCCTCAAAAATTGTAATGTTAAACTATATAATTTTTACTGAAATGAAGCTTTTTTTAGTGTGTGTGGTGGGGGGGGGGATGTCCAATAAAAAGCTATATAATGGGTTATCTTTACTCTATCCACTGTGGGGAATCATACCCCCAATTTTAGCATTGTAATTCTGTAAACTTACTGCTGGTCCACAGGGATGATATTGAGATGAATTGTTGAGATGGTGCTTAAGACTTTTGACTTTTTAGATACTTTATAACTGATAGCTATCCACTGGTTGAGTGATACAATATGTTGTTTATTCTTCCAGTATAAAAGTTTAATTTATCTTCTGTAAGTTGTTTCTAAAATTGCAAATGTACATGTATAGGTAGACAAAAAAAAGTTAATTTGGTTTTGATTCCTTTTTTAACTGCTACTGTACTTTAACCTAAAAAGTCACTCTTTAAAATTACAGATTGGGCATTGAAAGAGTCAATAAGTTGCACATCTGTTATATTAAAAGATAAAAATTATTACATATGTGTGTTACATATCATATAGTCTTGACACAGCAAATATATAGACACCATTATTATCTTAAAACTGACATTTGTATTAATTAATTTCCTTTCTTGTTTTTCTCTTGCAGGAACTCAATCTTGGAGAAAACGAACTTACCACAGTTCCAACATCTAGCCTTCAAGGGCTGCTGGCTCTGAAGATAATTGCTCTTCAAGAAAATTTAATAGAGCAATTACCACAGCGATCTTTTCCAAATCTCCCTACTGTGAAAATTCTGAATCTTACAAGCAATGATATTAGTTTTGTACAGGATGGAGCATTTGCCACACTTTCTGGTCTTGAAACTCTCCTTCTTGGAGGGAACAGGTTGAATTTTTTACCTTCAGATGCATTTGCTAGGCTTGATAACTTGCACATGTTAGACCTGTCAAGTAACCATTTTAAATTTGTTCCTTTGAGACCTTTGACTAAATTGGTGGGGTTAAAGAGACTTCTCCTACCTTCCAATAACATTCATTCTCTAGAAGAAACACCTCTTGCTGACTTAAATGCACTGGAATATTTCGATTTGCGCAGGAATGGGATTATTGGAATTCCAAAAAACATATTTGTTGGTATGTTGAATATGAAGGAATTATATTTGGATGTCAATATAATAAGGACATTAGGTGAAAATACCTTTATAGGACTAGAACAGTTAGAAACCTTAACTTTAAATGACAACCAAATTTTCACTTTCCCAAATACAGCCACAAGTAGACTAGAAAACTTAAAAAAACTTAGTCTTGACTACAACAGAATAGTTGTAATATCATCAGACATTTTAAAGACTTCTACTCACTTGGAAGAACTTTCCCTTGCTTTCAACTTGATTAGAGAGATTCCTGATAACCTCTTTGAGAATTTCAACAGACTTCAGTTATTAAACTTACATGGTAACAACATAGAATTATTTAATAACAACAAGATACTTGGTCTTGAACAGAGTTTATGGATTCTTGATATAGGTTACAATGAGATAAATCAACTTCCAAAATTAAATCTTCCAAAACTTTTCATTTTCAATCTTGCGAGAAATAAATTATCAACATTAATACCAGAAACTTTTGAAATGCTTCAAGATTTAAGGTATCTCAATCTCAGCTTAAATCAAATAACTAATATTCCCAAGACTACTTTTCAAAAACTTTCCAAACTTGAAAACCTGGATCTACACAAAAATTTACTTCAATCAATTTCTCAAGATCTGTTCAAGAATCTTTCACTTAAGGTACTTGATCTCAGCAAAAATCAACTAATAGAACTAGAACAAAAATCTTTTCAAAAGTTGTCAAAGCTAGAGAAACTAGATCTCAGCATGAACAGACTAGCAATGATTAAAAATGGAGCTTTTGATGAGTTAGATAGCTTAAAGTACTTAAATCTCAGGGGCAATAATTTAGAATCTTTTAAAGGAGATATTTTTACTACAAGAACAGAGTTAGAAATTATAAATCTGAGTCACAACCAAATCATTTATCTTTATCCTAACTCCTTCAGTATACATCGTAGCCTCAAGAAAATAAATCTTAGCTTCAACAGACTTACTTTTTTTCCAAGTGAAACTTTGAAATCTGTTCAGACTTTAGGTCACATCAATCTCCAGGGAAATAAACTTCAATCTTTGGATCATGCAGATTTTGCTAATATGGTAAATTTGAAGATTCTTGAACTCCAAGATAATAAGATAAAAGACATTAAAGAAAAAGCCTTCCAGAATTCAACCCAACTTCATTGGATTTACTTGCAAAATAACCAGATTTCATCTTTACCTGAACTTCTCTTTAAGGGTATAAGTCATCTGAATCTAGATCTTAGCAACAACAGTCTCAGTGAAATTTCTATAGAAATGTTTAACAGGTTAAATGTCTTTACACTAGAAAGTATTAATTTGGCAAGAAACAAATTTACACAATTTCCAAACATAGGTCTAAAACGACAGTATTCATTCCTTGAGAATTTAAATCTATCACATAATGAAATAAGGAACCTTCCTTCTAATGACGATGTGCTGGTAAATATAAAGAATATAGATCTATCTTTCAATCCTTTGACAGTTGATGCACACAAAGTACTTCTCAGTGAACCCAAGAGCATAAGAGAACTCCACCTAGCTAATGTAAGGTTAGAAGCTCTTCCTGTATTAGAAAGTCCTTTTTTACGAATCTTAAACGTTTCACAAAACAGAATAACAAAACTCCAAGATGATGTTTTTCAAAAATCAAACCACATTTATAGCTTAGATCTATCACAAAATAAAATTCCAAACCTGAGTGTAAGTTTTGAAAATGTCTGGCCCAAAATTTCAGGTTTACAGAAACTAGACCTCTCAAACAATCCAATTTTATACATTGTAAAGGGAGACTTTGATTCTTTATCAAAACTTAGACATCTCGCAATCAGTGATTTAAATGAACTCAGTCTTTTAGAATGTGAGAGTTTAGAAAAGCTTCATCTTTTAAAAAGTTTAAGATTATATGGCTACCAATCGTTATCTACACTAGCCAGCACAGACTGTTTGCAATATGCACATGGGCTTCAAAGTCTTGCAATAGAGATTACTGAACCCAAGCTTCAAACACAGTTACAAAAGGTTTATAGTCCCAAGCTTCAAGATTTGGAAGTTTGGGGTAGTCAAATAAAGAGCATATCTTCAAGTGCATTTGCTAGTATTCGAAGTCCAAAGATTGAGATTAAACTTCATGGAACCAGTATAAATTCTTTACCAGCAACTATATTTTTACCTCTTCCTTTGTCTACTCATATTACTCTGAATGTGAAAGGTAATAAAATCAGCAGTTTAAGGCCACAATTACTAAGAACTCTAGACAATAAGCAGAGAGATATTTTACTGCTTGGCCTTAACTTTAACACTATTATGTGTGACTGTAATGTTAAACCTCTCTGGCTCTGGATTGTAGAAAAAGGCAATGAAGAACAGGAGGATTTCAGTGAGTTTTTTAACCTTGAATGTTCAGATCCTCCTCAACTGGCACATCAAAAGCTACAGAGTCTCCAAATGGAAGATCTTGTTTGTGTAGATCGCACAACCACAACTATATCTACAACTTCCTGGACAAGTACTCAGCATTTTACAACTACTCCACATCACACATCTACCCCCCAAAATCATGAAAATAACATAATATTTCAACCTCAACATACTACTACCCCACAGTCTATGGGTGAAATGTCTTCAGCTACTAGCAGTAAAAGTGCACTTACTAAAGTGGACACTATGATTATTGCTATTGTGGCTGGAGTGGTAGCCTTTGTATGCTTAGTGATCATAATAATATGTATAATCCGATTACGTAGAGCAAAGCCTCATTTTACTGCAGGACCTTTAGCAGGTCCTTTGGCATTGCGGGCCCAAGGAAAATGTACATGCCTCAAACCTCCACCTAACTCATGTACCTGCTTTCCTCCTTATCCTATCCCACTCCCATATCCTCCCCCAGGCCTTCATCTTGGACCTCAAATGCAACCAACACATTTGCCCATGCCACCCCAATGCATTTCTGGCAATACACTCGGAAGGCCAGCACCATTCAAGACCCAACCATATTATGTGACATATCCTGAAAGTGAGAATGAAAACAGGTAATGGATGAAACAGCACCTGATAAAAATTGTAAAATAAACTTATTCAATTTCAACTCATACAGTGGTTTTCTTTAAAAAGTGGTAGAAAACTCCTGGGAAATTCTGACAATACGACTCAAGTTGGGTAATTTATTTACTATTGATACAATGGAATATGTACTGGAATTGAGTCAATATTTCCAAAATATGATATATTCATAAATACAGAGATGAGAAAATGTTGAGGTAAAAGAACAATGTGACTCAAGTTGGATAATTCACTATTGTTATAACTAAATCTGTACTGAAATTGAGTAGGTACTTCTACATCATGATTTACTGATAAATGCAGAGATGAGAAAATATTAGGCAAATAATGCTTTCTATCTTCCCAAATCTCAGTCGAATAACAAGACAAAAAAGGACTGCTTATGGTTTTTAATGAAAATATTTACTCTAGTATGAAACTTTGTATTCATTAACTAGAATCTTAGTTCAAATGTGTTACAGAAAAATGTCTTGTATTCTTGTGTTGTTTTCCTTTAGATCACAATCTATTGATAACAGAAAAAAAAAGTAGATAATTTTTACTTTTTTGTAAGCATTTAAAAAACTGGTGAAAAATGTTATCAATGAGATTCGTAATTTTTACTTGTATTTATCAAACTAATATGATAATAAATTGCTGTTTTTGGCATGTAGGATGTGAAAATTTCTGAAAATAATTTTTTTTTAAATGCTACTAAGAGAAGCAAGTTTATTTACACTGAATGGACTATTCAAAAATTATTTTTATGAATTACAATATGATATACATTCAACCAAGATATTCATATTCTGATTGTTGTTCCAATGTACAATGTAGTATGCTTCAGAGTTGGATATATCAACATACTTATTATATACATATTAGTACTTAACTTTTTAAAGTGTTTAAAGCTTAGAAACAATACTTCTATTAAATAAATTAGATGACACTTGTGCACAGATAAAATACTAAAAATCTACCTAACATATTTACTTAAGATATGAGTTAAAAATTCTTGAGCAATTATGTTACAAACACTTTTACAAAAATTTTCATTAAACCAAATACTGTAAGTACACACTGTTATCTTAGTGCAATCCTCTTAAATTACAATATAAGTTAGGTGTTCTACAATTTTTGTAACAACAAATAGGTTTCAGCTGGAATTGTTTTTCCTGCACTATAATACAAAGAGCAACAATGTGAAAAGAACAATTACTTGCATGAACATAATATATTCAGCATTTTTTTGACACTATACTAATTTATGGACATTTTTTTCAGTCAACCACTGAAACCAAGTAAGATCTGAATATAGTAATGATTGTTACATAAACAGAGCATGTGATTTTAGGAGATACACAAGTTATACCCTTAGAGATAAATACTGCCCATGTCATTTAACTTCTAAGACCACATTCTATGAAAAATTCTACATAAGTGTGTGACACTTGTTTGAAGACACTTTTATAGTGAAAGATTAATTAAAATTGAAAAACAAATTGTGGTTTGTTCACATTTAGAAACTTACAAAGCTCACTCACCAAGAACAATTTCAGTCAGGTGGTGTATCAATGTGGTTCTATAACGAATTAAAAGTAAAATGAGGATTAAAGAAAGGACATACATCTTAATAATTTCCTAATACCCTTAAACAACAATTTTTTTAGACCACGGACAAAGATGCCAAGAATCCTTATGAATAAAATAAAACCTGACAAAATGGATCTATGATGGAATAAACTTGTTACTGTTTTTTTCCCACATTATTTATTCCACCTTAAATCAATAAGGAGAGTGAAGCACCAGTGTAAAGAAGAAATTCTTAAAATTTGATATTAAACAAAAACTACCATACAGTATATATAGTTTGGAGATGGCTTAAATGGGTAGTGAAAGAAACGTTATTGCATATGTACAACATTTCAATGAGATTATGTCATTATGCCTCCAAACTTTATTTTCTAAAAAGTAGATTTCTCATCATCAAATTGGAATTGCTATACAGTATGCTTGAATTCATTAGCATATCCTAAATTTAAGTCCTTTAAATGCTAAAAGTAGTTCCTTCAACTAGTAATAAGACCATTTAGAAAAGAAATATACCTGAATAAAGATAATAGTTACAAAGTCCTCCCTTGTTAGTGAAGACCAAGACAATACATCTCACAATAATCATCTGGTTGTTGAAAAATCAAAATTTATAGTTAACTTCGATAAATATCAGTTCACCAAAGAAATTATAATATTATCCATCTTGGTGAAAATTAATTTTCCTACAACCTTGCAGATTTTAGAACTTTGCTTATTAATGATTGGATGTATTAAGACATCACAAAAATACCATGTGAAACACTTTTTGTTGAAGATATGACATGAAACTGTTTAATGTAATTTAACAGTTTTGAATGAGGACACTTTACTTTCAGGATTTATCTGTCATGGTTCTAAAGCTAACAGGTAAAGTAAGTCTTGTATGGAACTTTAAGTATATTTATTTACAATATGCATTCTGTCTGTCACTGTTGAAAGCCCTTTGAAACATTACACTGATTTTTGTAGGTTTTATATATGAAAAGTGGATGGAGTAGGCATTAGGGTCGAGAGGAGTATGTACACAGATATCATCCCATAGAAATAAGGTTAACAATTTCATTTTTACTTGTTCTTGCTCAACTCAAAAGTGTAAACGACAGTATAAAAGTCAAAATGCAACAAAACCTATCCAAAGTTGTTTTAAAAAAAATAAAAAGAACACTTTTATCTCTTTTCTTCATTTAATACTTCTCAATTCTACTGCTTCTCTAATTCTTCACTTTGTTTATGAGCATAGGTCCTCATTTCACTCCAATAGCTTGTAAACAATATAAAGAAATCAAGGTGCTAAGATGAAGATTTGCTTTAGATTGAGGAATTGTGCCTTTAGGTATATTTTTCTTATCCTTTTTTGTCTCATCTCTAAGTAAAAACAATTTTCTTTTCTGTGATTATTTACTTTCCATTGCCTAGGTTAAAAATATCAGTTTATAAAAACAATGAAATAAAAAGCCTGATAAATTTACAGGACATGAAAATTCTACAACAGAACATACTGAAAAGGTCCAAATTGTATGGTTCCAGAAACTACATTTAAACCTTAAAAAAGCTAGTGCAGACCAAACAGATATCATACCATCTACCTTCCACAGAACTAATAAAAACACTTGATGCAATTCATGCAGAAGTTTCTGCAGCCCAGAAAGTGGAATAAAGTGTGATTAAATAATATGGAATTGTAAATTTTTAGAAGTCTTATTAGATCAGAAAATAAATTATTATTCCCAGTCGTGGTCAGTTGAATTTTTGTGTTCATTAACTCGAAACAATTATGACCAAACAGCCCCATATATGATATGGTCACAAGGTTTCTTATGTTGCAATATATCAATTTTTTAGCTGTACATAATTTCCTAGTATCACGAATGCATGTAATGTGTATTAATGCCTCACATATGCATGCAATTCTGAGCAGAATTTACCAGAAGTCCAAGCCACCAATTTTTTTATTTTGATACCAACATAAAATTTGGGTTGGACAAAGATCCTACACTATCTCAACTTTCACTTGGTTGTTCAAACTTAAAAAAAATACTCCTCCTCAATCCTACAGACTAGTGTATTTTTAAACTACAATTGACATTTTGACTTTTAATTGACAAAGCTATGTCATTTATTTTTGTTAATGGTAAACCATATTGTTTCTATTTGGAGGGAAGTATGAAAGAAAAATCTATTGTGTTATTCTGATATTGCAACACCAACTTCAAAGTGACTCACAAAATATATGATGTTATCCCACAGCAGGCTTCAAAGAAACATTAGTATTATGTGTATGCTTACCAAAAGCTTTCTTTGAACAGACTGTAAAACTTTTACTGATAAAGTTTAGTGTCACTTAACTCTCAGATCGTTTTGTAACACATGCATGTTATTCAACCTCAATGAAGATTCTTTACTGTCAATATGGAGGTAATGTGAAGATGTGTGAGTATGATTAAAACATGTGTATGTACTAGGATGACAAGTGATAGAAAGTACTTAAAAAATTGGTAATAAATAAAAAGAAAAAATAGCAACAATAAACTGTATAACAGTTATCAAAATTTTTAGCATTGGAGATGTATACAAATATTATGGTGAACAGCACTATAAAAATATACATGTACAGTTGCAATGTGCCTGATTATTTCTTATTATTGCTCAATAGCTCGACTAGTAGATGGTACTCAACACAGAATTTTAAGTAATTTAGTTATGGTTGACTAATGTATTGCATTTCTACAAGTTTTCTTAAGCTAACACAGAGTAAAAAGTTAGTTTCTGTTAATTATTGTGCAATTTAAACCTTAAAGTGAACTAGTGTTTGGTATGCAAATCTGCTCTATATGTAGGTTGATGTTTTGAGACAAGATTTTTGCCCATTTTGTTTTTGAAAAATGTTAACCATTATAATTTTGTCCTCTTTCACTGTCATCTTTACACAACTGTTTGCTGCATCAAGGTTTTCATCATCCACACCACCATCATCTTCACCGTTTCTTACCAATGATTTGGGAAGTGAATAGGTTAAAGGTTGGATGGCCTTCTCTACTAGGCATTGCAGTAACCTCACCGATACTTATTGTTGCAAAACCAGTATTGTTGGGTATTGCAGTAACTTAACAGTGTACTTGTATATGCTAGAAATTAAGGACCTTATAGACGCCAAGACGGATCTTGTCCCAAAGGGAGAGAGATCATCCTAGTTACATGAACACATTTATTTGTAATTTAGTAAACCAGAGACTAAACTCAATTATTGGAAGCTGTACAGCCTTATAGATTCTTCTGCATGCAAAGCCTAACTACTGTGTTTCATTGTGATGTGAAATGAAGTGTTACTTGACTAGCACACCGTATTTGTTGAATGAGAGCCATGTACAAAGATCAGTAATTTCAAATTTAACAGGGACATGATGATATGTAGGTCCCAATAACAAGAATTCTTTAAATAAATGGTGGAAACAACACAACATCCATACCCTTATTTGAAATGTTGAAAAAATGAGATAACAATGTATTGTAAGATGCACCCATACAATACGTATCTAAGGTTCAGAGAAACTCCAGCGTGTTAAATGACAAAATTTCTAAAACTGGCATTTTTTTTTTTAACTTTCCTCCCTAAAATTAATTTTGTTACTATAAGAATCAATGTATCTAGTAAAAAACAAACAAACAAGAAATATGAAACCATTTGATTATTTAGTTACAGTACAAGAGACAGAAAAATGTAATAAAGCATTTCCTGCAAATAAAAACAAATTCAAGAATGCTCTTGTTCAAATGTGGATGGTTGAAATGTCCTATGTACTGTTCATAAATATGTCTACTGCAACACTGCATTAAAAAAGTAAAGAAAAACCTTTCAATAAAGGAAGTAAATTTAGGGATGATTAATATCAAACCTTCAAAAACAATGCAAACAAGATAGCAGGGAGAGCATTTGCATCATCCATGCATTATACCACAAGCTCACAGTATAGTAGAATGTTAACAGACAAAATAGGATAACTTAAACACAATGATGATTGAATAGTTATCTTGCTTGTGCTATTATGTAGGGATGATGCAAATGACATTCCTACTATCTTGTTTGCAGTGTTTTTTTAAAGGATTGATATTAGCCATCCCTGCATTTACTTGTTTTTTTGCAAAGTGTTTTCTTTACTTGTTTTTTTGTTTTATCATGCAGTGTTTCAATAGACATATTTATAACAAAATCCTTAATACAATGAGGTTCTAACTGTAATATTTATTGTTTATCTATTATTGGCTGGCAATTCCTGTTTCTTAAAGGAACACCAAACTTGAATATGAAAGCTAACTTCAAGGGGTAATGATAACATCATTTAATTTAGAATTATGAATTTTGTTTAAATTACTACTAGTTAATAATTTAAAATGTGGATACTCCATTTGAAGCTGTCACCTCAGTGAAATTGGTTGACACCATTGTTTTGGTTTGAGTTATCATGTAATAAAAAAGAAGAAATTCAAACTTTTTGCTACAATATTTAGATATTTCCAGAATTTGCTACTGAATCATTACATAGATATTGCTATAAAAAGAAACACTGAAAAGTACTGTAAAGTTCTGATGCCCCATTGAGCAGATATTTGAAATACCATTTTGATGAACAATCTGAGCCATACCTACATAAGCAGTGCTAGCTGCCTACCTGATATTGATCTTCCTTTAACACTTTGAAACTTATGTTGCAAACAAACATACCATATTGGCCCGATTATAAGGCAATGTTTTTCTGATTAATAATTAGGCTGTAAAATTCATAGTCACCTTATAATTGCAGCCTACCACAAGCCTCTTCCCTCTACTCTAGCTTGCATTCCTGAATGTCCAGGTAGCATCCATCTTTGCATGAGTGCCAGATGTTTATGCAAGGTCATTGTTAACTCTTGCAACTGATCCAACTGCAAGCTGTTCAGTTATAATATTGATTTTGCAGACCTAAAAAAGAACGTTTTGACACTTTTTCTTTCCCATTGTTTCTGAAAATGGGGGTTGCCTTATATTCAAGATTTCCTTATAATCAGGCCAATATGGTACATTTTTCTTGGCTCAGACATGCACTCCTGTAAATTCTAGAAGCTATATGCTGATAAATCTTAACAGTACAAAAAATTTGTACTCCACCTTAAAAACAAAAAGTTGTGATCATATCCATTGCAAACAACTGTAACATAAAATTTGTTCACTTATCCTACAAAAACAACACACAAAAAACTACCAATATTTATAGGTTTTGACCTAAAATATGCTTGCTATTAATACTTACAAAATATTTTGACAATCACATTTGTGTATGATTATATGACATTCAAGTTCACCTCCAAAGAAATCTTTTACTTTTAATATAGACAACTTTCCATCAATTGTCTTGTGTCACTGGTAAGTTTATGTACTTATATTGCCAAAATCCAGAGTTCAATTCCCTGTGGTGGAAACAGTGTATAAAGCCCATTGTGAACATTTGCACTAAAACAAATAAAACCCAACATTTGGTACATACACCTAATTCTAATTACATGATATTTACACACACACACATTTAAAAATAGGTATCATTGGAGAATAAGATACTAATTTTCTCATTACATGGTTTCTAGCTGTTTTAGAAATTAAAAAATTAAAATTAAAACAAATTTATTTCTATCTCAATTTTAAACATATTGTGTAAGGCACAACAGTACACATGTATTTATTAATATAAACTTTATTTTTGTCTTAATGTATCTATATGCATTACAAAACTTAAAAAAAGTATAAAATAACTATACTTCATCTACATAAAAACATACTAAAATAGAATGTTAGTTTTTGAAATAAAAATTGCTATAATTTTCAATTTCTATTCTTCAAAATACTATACATACATATATATATTATATACATGTCCTCTTCATGAACATGATTAATGTGCTATTTGAAATTTCTATTAAAATGATATTCAAGTTCCCATTGAACTATGTAACAATTATTTCATTTTATTAAAAAAAAAATTAAATAATTCATGTTAAATTTTCATGAAGGCCAAATAACTTTTCAATAGCTATACATTAATGCCCATACTGCACTCTTTGAAAAACCTAAATCTTGAATTAATATATCAAACATTTCTTTCCTACAGAGCAAACTAACTACATGTCAAAATCCAGTCACTGTAAGAAGCTAAATTGAAAAACATTTAAAAATTACATTTGGTTTCAAGAATTTTTATCTTTCATTACATGTTTGATATACCCGAGTAATTTGTGTATCTCCATAGTTAAGTAAGTACAACATTTACAATATGTATCCACGTAAGCTCACTCTTAGCTATAATATCTGAATTCTTGTATCTGGTAAACTAATAATCCTGTTTTCCAATTAAACAATGTGACACCTGAAAACCTTAAAATATTCCAAACCATAAAGTTCATTTCTCGGAAAGAATTTTGTACTTCAAAACTTTACATACAAACAGTTATGTTTTAAGTTATACTTTAGTGCAAATTTTAAGATAATGATTTCAAATGTTAAAAAATTCAAAATTTATGTTACAAATAGATTATATAAAAATATTTTATCGCTTGAATCTTGCTCTTATTACAATTTACTGCCATCTCTTCATCAAATCACACAAAATGCATGTAATATTTATTTGAGGTAACTGTTAAGGTTAGAGAAACTGATATTAAGTGTTTTCTAGAAGGCAGTATATCCATGATTCAATATACACATAGTATGTACTTATATAAATGAACATGCATGATATTTCTTGTTTAGTGATCATTTCCTTTCTTGGTATAATTTATAGACTGCCACATAAAGAAAAAAAGAACAGTAACAAAATTTTCTTTACAAAAGTTAAGAAAATTTCTTGTTAGTGAAACTATAATGCACTTTCAGTAAGGTTAGCTCAAAATTGGTCAATCAAACATCTTTTCTAACATTTGAATCATACAATTCTCCTTTTAGAATATCAGCCAATGAGGTATTTATCAACATGTATATCTACATATATTTATCACATACCACTACCTACACAAAAGACTACACCAAATCAGTGAATAAGAATTTAGTATCTTGAAGCTCAATGATCACCACCACTTTCAAGGTGTTGACAAATATTTGTCTATTTATAAAATTAAGAAGCATTAAATATTATAGTTTTAGATATCAAGATTAAGAAGCTATTCAGGCTATTTATTTGTAGATAATGCAGAAATTAGACATTTTTAAAAAATAGCATTACAGAAATTAAGTGTTTTTCTTTAAAAACAAAATCATTGAACTTTGGCACTCTACTACAAAATATATTAATGCCTACAGTATTTCCTAACAACCACATAGTTCTGACTGAAAAAATAATTCAACTATGATAGCCCCTCATTGCATACTACATACTAATTTTCTTTTTTAAATTAATGCTGATATACTAGATATTTGATAAAAAAACAGTAACTTACATACCAGCTCAAAATCGATCAATTAAATATTTTTTCTAGCATCTGAACAATATTCTCTTTCTAGAACATTAACTATTAAAATTGAGAAAGCATAAAAAGATGAAATATTTAAGTCAGAAACACTTCTCTTGTTTCTCTTCAATGAAATTGTAAAAAAAATGGGGTGTAATAAAACTTTTAAATATTCACTTTGATTAAAAAAAAAACGATACTGGCAGATAGTTTTGTCACCTAGAGTATACTGCACGGTAACTACAGTGTGCATATTTTAGCCATATTACAAGTTTCTAACTTCATAAGCAAAAACCAGATGCAACAAAAAAAAGTTTTACTACCACATCAGTCTGAGATTAAGACTGTAATATATAATCTCAAAAAATATCTTTACATCCAACCAACAGTAACTTAGCTGTCTAACGCACATGCATCACATTTTCCTAATAATCTAAAACAATACTTTATATGTGAATGCTCAATGAGCTTTCGAAAAAAGCGTTAAGTTCAACAACCAGTTTATCTTATCCACTTCAAAAGCCATGACCTTCAATCATAAAGCCAGTAAACAATGGTTTTAATTTAAAACCATCAGAATTCTAAAATTCAGCAACAAAATATTCTTTGTCCTTCTGGCTCTGATGTTTTAATAACATTAGTTCTGAGTGGATACTGTGGTGATAAAACATTATCTACACCATCCAGACTGTCATTTGATTTGTTGTGTTGTGATTCATTGTTCTTGAAAACTTCAATAAGTCCAAGTGCTGTCTGAGCAAAGGCCTCTTCAATTCCTATAAAATAAATGCAAATATTGCTAATGAAAATGTAAAATAGTTACAAAGTTCATTAATATTAAATTTTAAGTGAAAAAAGCTGATAACTAAAAGACTTGTCCCAGTCTCTTCACTTATTGGCTTTTTCGCTTAAAATTTAAAGCTAACTATTGTCTTTTCAAAGTCCATTATACATTAGGTATGTATATCAAGTATTTAAATTCAGATGCAACTGTTGAAAGCCATATTTAGTGTACATTTTATACAATCCAGGGCTTATTGCATTTAAATTAACTTCTCTTTTAATATCAGTTCCTAAAACAAATCTAGAAACATTATGCACGTACATGTAACACTTAAGGGAATAAATTAATAAATACAGTTTCACAACTGATCTGATAATTATCCAAATTCCAATAAAATGTAAAAAAGTATGTCAGAATAAAAATGTTCCCTAAACAATGAATCATCACAGGCTGGAAAAATTTCTCATGTTGTCTAAAAATTCCTAACATTTCTTTTTGAGCTTACAAGTTTATTAATTAACTATCAAAACATGCACATACTTTGTTAGAATTTTCATACATTATTAATTTAGTACATGTTTAGATCACCTACAGAAGTGTCTCAATCCTTAAAATGACATATGAATACAAAAATTTGTTTTTAGTTAACTTCCCAATTTTTGAATTCTTTTAACTGGTCTCTCAGTGGGATACTGGTAAGTTTATGAAGTTATATCTCTAAAAATCCGGGTTCTCATTCCCCACATTGAACACAGCAGATAGCCCAATATGGCTTTGCTCTAAAGTAACCAACCAATCAACTTTCAACTGATCTATATAATTTTAAATGTCTTTTTAGTCATACATACACACACGTGTTGTGTGTGCACTTCAGATCTGTTTCATGTCATTTAAAACACTGTGTATTCAAACCACTTTATTATAATTTTGTTCTACATTCACTTCAGGATGGGTGTCTCCATGAAATGTTGCTCAAAAGTTTAAAAAGAACATTTTTTAGTTGTTCATGGTGTTAATTCTAATTCTTGCTTTTTCAGTTAATAACCTAATAGAGGCTTAAATGAACCATTTCCTAGTTTATGATGCTTATCTTAAAATTATTATAAAGGGTACTATAAAAGTGAACTACCACAATAAACATTTAACAGACAAGTTTCTAGAGATAGTTTTGAATTTCTAAATTTGTTGCTAATAATTTATGACTTATAATACTATACAATTACAGATGAGAACACATTAAAACATTTTTTTAATATTATTTGCTTTTAATCATTTCAATTTTCAGTCATAAGAAATCTTAATTACAAATATTGAAATATCTTCCTTACAAGTACAATATTACCCTCCATTTATAACATTAAACTGCTGATTCAAAGAACACCATGGGTTTGGAAGAATTTCAAGGCTATAAATGAAATATGTCTATTGGTTGTGATTTTATAAATAACTAAACTGAATAGACTTAAATAATTTTCAATGGAGAAGCTGACAACTATTTTTCCAAAAGAACACAATGATTATTTCTATTATTATTGATGTTTTTACTTTATAAGTGCAGTGTATTATTAAGTATTCCAACTATTATTACCATTTACATTTTAATTACTTTAAAGCATAATATTTTTCTCAGTCATGGCTTGATAATGGTTTGACCTCAGCTCAAGTTCATATTAATTTTCTTACAGCTGGAGGAGAAACTAAACTCACAAAAAAGAATACTGAAGATAATAAATACATTTTAAATTTTCAGATATAAATCTAACTTTGCAATTTAAAAAATCTCAAAATTGAAGTAAATCAAAAATTCTAATAGGTTATAAATTTAAGTTTAATCTATTTCCAATTTTGTATTAACGAGGTTTAAAAAAACATCAGCAGTATTACTATAATCTTTTTCCTTAAGCAATCAGTAATGATCCATATTATAGTATAATAAGCTTCACCCACATCAAGTAGTCTAAAAATGCCATTCTGAACTGCCAGCACAGATTTCATCAGGTCCTACTAAAGACGTGCTTTAACTGTGTTAAATATTTCCCAGGTACACGAGTCGCAGGTGGATGAAGCTCATTACATTATTCAGAATGAAGCATTATAACAGTTCTAAATTTCTAATTGCTTTAATACTAAAGGGGAAATACCATAGTGTAGTTTAACTTGTTTTGTTTTTGCATTAAAAAATTTGTCTAACCTTATGACTTTTATGAAATGAAACTTACTTCACTTTTTTTTTCTAATTACATGTGTTATCAGCTTTTGTAATGTTTAATAGTTTTCTCTATTACAAGCAATGAATGCAGACATATATCTTTGAAAATTAAATCTAATTTTTTTTTATGACAATTGTATTTTCTGTTAACTCTTTGCAAATGGCTCAGTCCATTGGATCAATCCCCGCCCACACACTAACCAGAACTAGTAAGATATGTGTACTGGAATTCTGAACTTAATAAGTGTATATTCAAGGAATTTGACAAGCTTTTAATCACAAAATATAAATTTTCTTAATAAAGGATTTTTTATTAAAGATTTGCCTGCAAACTTCTTTAGCCTTTATTGAATCAGTTTGATGCTTCACTGAAAGGTGATTTTCACTCTAAGAATAAAAATACTCATGGTTTTCATATTCCATTTGAATAACCTCTAGAATCTCCTAAATAAATGTCAGTTTTCTGTTGTAAACATTTATATTTTATCACTTATTTTCTCTACTTTGACACTAATTATAAATAAGCATCATGTAGAGAACCTGCTTATTGGAAACTGCAGCAGCCTATTTTTGAAATTAGAAAATTCTGAACAGAAGAAATCAGACCTTAGACACATGAAATGACACAGAAAATAAAGTTAAAACTCAAATAATAAAGATTTTAATTATAAACTAAGTTTTAATGCCACGTTTATTAACACATTGATAATAAAGTTGCTTGATTGAAATTTGATTTTAATGTTAGAAACATTATGCATTTGCAGCAAGGACACTTTCAGATGCACAGGGTTAATAGAAACTTTTTGGAAACTGATTATCTTTCATGACAATTTTCCATGTTTCATACAATTTTGTAGCTGTTTGATTGATTTGTGTTTACTTTCCATTATGCTGTACCAGCTAAAATTAGCAACTTCACAAACCAGCCTTAAAACCTACCTTCATTTGAAACAGCTGATGTTTCAAAATAAGTAGCTCCAATAGATACAGCATATTGCTGTGCTTCTGTTGTATTTACTGCTCTGTTGCTTTTCAAATCACATTTGTTTCCCAAAACACACATCACAACAGCCTCCTCTACATTCCTTCTCAACTCTGAAAAATAAAGCAATACCGTAAGTAGGAGTGAAAATTAATACTTTCCTTAGCAGAAAATATATTTCAGATAGATACTTCTTTACACAGTTTAGCTATTTTTCTCAGTACATCTGCCAAAGAGATTTGCATGCCACTAGCCTTGAGACAACTCCCACATAACGTCACGTGAACTGTGCATGATGATTTCATTATGTAACAAAAACCCTCCATCAATAGGAGGACAATACACCTCCATGCACAATAATTCCCCCCATGTGCTTGCATTTATGAAACTTCATTCTTCAATGAGATCAGTAAAAAAATGATCAGAAGTGGGAAACTTATTCAGGTGAAGGGAAGTACTTTTTGATTTACTTGGTGAATGAAATGAAATGGAAGAACAAGCCATAAAATTGTCAGCAACAGTCAATTCAACTTTGTTGATGGTTAATTCAACTTTGTTGATGAAGAACATTTTCGACCAGCATGTGATGCAAAAGAATTTGATAAAAACTTGCAATATGCCAACATACTTTTAACTACTTGTATGTCGGAAGTGTTAATGTTGTGTTACTGTTAAGTTCTTGAAAATTAGTTCTTTTTGGTTTGAAATTTCTGTAATTCTCTTCATAGAATAAATGTTGATAGTAATTATATTCATTAAGATTAATAGTGATGTAAAGTTATAGGTAAAACAGACAATGAAAATAATATAAATTTATAAGTAATGCTAATGATGGTTCAGTAAGAAGTGCTCATGACTGATCAGGCCAGGCTTAAAAATGTTTGTTGTAACCCTAAGCTAATTTAAAGTGTGGGTAGGTATGTTGGTAAATATATTTTTTTTAAACTTCTTGGCAAAAAAATTTTGGAAGTACCACTAGTTCTGTGATCACCTAAAACATAATGTGTTAAGCCTTAATAAAATAATTAGAAAGTCTACAAAAGTCATTATAATTAACCTATTCAGGTTATAAATCCAGTGATTTATCTTTATTTCTCATAATGCAATTGATATAATAATAGAAACAGCTAAAATGAACATTTTAAAATTAGATAGTTATAATTATTTATAATGATATTTAAAAACTAATTATAAATAAAAGTCTACACCTAGTTTCACATATTAGTATTCATAAACAGGATATCTGTTTTAATTTTTTTTTCTAAACAAAGTCTTTACTTGTACAATTGTACACTTAACTTTATCATGAGAATCTAATTCCTAAACAATGAAAAAAAAATCGATTCTTTGAAAAAGAGTATGTTAAATGAACTGCAGGTGTCCTAAGTAATACTAACTTTGTTAAAAACAAATCTCTAAAGCCTAAGCACACTGTTAGTGTTTGAAAACAGCCAAGGTAGGAAAACTGACCAAAGCAATGTTTAGTTGATGTTCATATTGTGTATTAGCTTAGAAGTAATCAGTTACTAGCCGAGGTCTTAATCTGACTGCTATAGATTCTAGCTGCATTGACTTAAGAAAAACCTGAATAAAGCTTTTAACGGAATTAATAGACCAATGAAGTAAAAGTACCAGTATCTAATGATTCTTTCTGTTACCATATCATAGCTTAAGAATGTCTGGCTGTTTTTCTAATAATCTAAATAAAAATTGAGGAGTTTGGGACCCTTTGGACTCATCCCCTGGATTCACACCTGCTTATTCAGCATCAAAGAATACAGATATGAAATTATACATTGTACACACAATACAATGTAATAAAATGGTAAGTTTACACTTTAACACTAAAGTAGCTCACAATTTTGTGGCAAGTTCTACCAGACATTTCCATTCCCTCTAGTGAACAATTCAAAATTAGTAATAATGGTGGATAACCTTAGTATCTTTGCTACAACAAAGAAACAAACAATGCTCCATAGCTGATTGGTAGCAATGTGAACCAAACTTAAGACCCTTGAATAAAAATCATAACAACTCATTTTGATTAATCTATCAGACACTAATCGAGGTAGCCAATTATACTGGTTAAAAGATTTATATGCCCAGCTCTAAATGATAGAGGTTACTGTATATTAGTATCACCTTTACATTTTGTATATAACACAACTATAGCAATTACATAGATCAAAATAATTATGTGATTAATAATATTTCCAAACCTCAGTAATGATGTGTACAGTTAAAATGTAGAATACATTCAGACACACACAAAAAGAGTTCACTTACCCATAACCCATGTCTTCATATTTAAGTAACTTTCATATGAGGTTATGTCAAAAACCAACAAGGCTGCATTGGCATTTCTGTAGTACATTGGAGCCTTCAATAGTAATAGTAAACAAATATAGCATATCAGAGCCTTCAATAATAAACTAGAGTACATCAGAGCCTTTGATAATAATAGTAAACAAATACATTACCTCAGAGCCTTCAATAATAATAATAATAATAATTAGATGCATATATATCGTATTACTGAATACGACAACCATAATGTTTTTTTCTTTAACCAAAGTTGTTTCACTCAGAATATACAGTTGTACTTCCTCACTATTCAAACAGATAAAAAGTTTTGTTTTGTTTTAATTCTACAGGCATATCAACAAACGATTCCACACAGTTTCTTGTGAAACTACAGTTACTTTAGACAGACATAGGACTTAGTTATGTAAAACTTGTTGCTTAGAGACACTGGCTGAAATGATTCTGGTATTAATTCTTTCAGTTAAAGCAACTTAATGTGGTACACACCTTCAAAGGTTTTGATTTATGTACAAAAATACATTATTTTATGAAAGTTGCTAATTTGTACAAGTGATTAGTATCGTAAATAAATGTGTTAGTGACAACTTTTCAGATACATGTGTATCAATTTCTTTTCAGGCACAATGCTACTGTATAGTAAAAGCAAAAAACAAAATGTTAAAAGTGATAAAGTCTTTATTAGTTGTTTCAGTATAGTTATCTCGTCACTTGCGGTTTTACCATTCACAGTTTTGAGTATTTGAGGTACAGTCACAGTCCACTCCCAAAACTAGCACAAGGCTCGCAATGTGCTACACTGTGCAACTATGTTGTTTCTGTTTAGACCCTCCCATGTAACCTCTTCGAGTCTTCTGCATGCTTCCTCTGCCACCACTACCTTATTACTAAGGGTATTTGCAGTTTTAGCATTTACAGCAATTTCTAGAACCTATCCCCATGAATGACAAGGGATAACTAACACAGTTACTATCACTAGTCTTTGTGAATATAGTGTTAGCTTAGTCCATATCAAACTCTTAGCCATTAAATGTTTTTAAATTCATTTTTAAAAACAAGGCTAGGAGACAAGGGAAGTGGGGAGGAATACAAGGGAATTCTTAAGATAAACAATTTTTCTACTAGGAAACATCAAGTGGTATTTAAGCAGTTTCAGTTTTGTTTTTCTCTCTCTTATTAAGAGCATCCATTTAACGACATTTGAATAATAATCATACATTAGCTGCTGCTCACTTGGAATATTATCTTTTGACCTGTATAATGTCCATTACTTAAACAAAGGTTCTGTTGTATTATAAAGAAAAAATGCACATACACTAACAAGTTGTATGCTTCTTCTATGCACTGGAGGGGAATATTTAGCAACTGCTTAGTATACAAGATACAAGACATGTTCTGTTAAAATAAATAAAAAACAATATAAGCTAACACTAATAACTTTAGTGTTGAAAAAGAAATAGGTAATAAAACTCTCCTGCAACTTTGTTATTGATGAAGGCCTGTTTTTAATTTTCTAATTTAATTGTTAGTGTACTCCTTTTCTAGTTATTATTATATCCATTATGTTTTTATTTAATTAACAATTTTATGTTAAGAAGTCTACAACTGTTAAATAAAGCTTTGATTTACTTAAGTTGTCTGCAATTATTCTAATTGACCACAATAGGGTGCTGTTGCAATTCATACTTGTTATTTTCAAAGTTATGGTTTGAATGCAGAAAGGCTGCAAAATATTGGAAAACCAAGAGGCCTAAACATTGTTATAAAGACAAATTAACCAACAAGTTTCTCTTAACTTAAGAGGAATGTGGAAAAAAAAAAACAGTTAATTTTAACTTATAACAAGCTTACTCTATGTAGCTATACGAGTATTACATGTAGCATCAAACAGGCGTACAGCACCAATATGCAATTTTTTTTTATATATTTAAAAAATAAAAACATGGTTAATGTTCTATATAACATAGTTTTAAACTACATAAAAATGTTTTATTTCCTTTATATGGATTACCTGTAAAGTAAGGTGAACAATTTTATTAGTAAAAGGGTTTTAAATCAAATATAAACTAGTAGTTATGGTGCTGTCTTCAGCAAATTATACAAATTAGTACCATCAAAAGTTTGAACTTTGTTTAGTAATTTGTTCCAGACCTTCCTGTTAGATCCCTACATATTCAATAATGATGTTTCTAAACCAATTAACAGTAGAATCTAACAATCAAAAAATCATAAGGTCACAAGAAAACTAATGAAAAATCAAATAAGAGTGTATTGCTTTGTAGCTGATTGTCTAAATAAAGGTGAACATTTGGTATTAGAGAAAGAAGACAGATCTCATGAACTCCCATTCACAAATTAAAAGTCTGATGAAATCAAACTGAAAAACAAATAGAAAGGAAGTGAAACAGACAAAAGTTGATAGTTATTCATCATATATATAGTTTACATATACTATCGATACAGAAGTTCCTAGTATTAGACTTACATTATTTTTTCATAACTCTTCATAAATATTGTTATCAGCAGAGCCTGATTAAGCAGTATGCCAAACACACATGGACATGTGGCTCAGACCAGAAAGAAGCCTATATTGGTAGCATAATGAATGAGGTTCCTTGAATGAATTGAAGTACATTTGAGGTGCTTAAAAATTTCCTTAAATTACTACAGCTAAATTTTTTCCATTGAAATATGATAAATTTTTTAAATTAATGACAACACAAATATCAATGTACAAAAAAAACTATTTAATTCTAAGCTAATTAGTTTTTTTAAGCTGATGTGGTTGCAATGTTGCTTTAGTTATTACATCTTATTGAGTTTATAGTTATTTCTAAGATTTTAAATATTTCATGCACAAATTATATAAACTGTGATTAGGGTTGTCTAGACAAATCAAGTGCACCCTTACAATGAAGAAAAATATTCTGTATTTAACATTATTTTAAAGCTAGATTGTCATTGGTTATTAACAATTTTTAAATCATTAGTCAATTATATTCATCACAACAAAAAAGTTAAATGTTTAAAGCAACTTGTTAATGATTATTGAAAACAGCCAATTATAATCAATTTTTCAAGCATCATGAATCACAAAGGATTTTAATATATTACAATTTACAAATCAAATTTTCTATACAAGGTGCTTACATTTTATACCTCAACACCTTTAAAAATTCCTTATACAAGCTAAATTCCCTCAAAAATTCCTTAGAATAAGAAAATGTCCTTGAAAGTGAGGGTGGAAGCATTGATGCCAATTGCCATATTACAGCTGACTTAGACAGCAGACTGCTGATTATGTATATGAAACTAGATACTACTAGACATGCATGAAATAATTCATCATTTAATCATTTGTAACATGTTGTTTAACCCTTTTGCACACACACCCATACCAGGTATAATCTGGAGAAAATGTACACCACCATTTTTTGAACATTATTTATGGTTTTTTCCCCAATAAGTTCCTTCCAAAAATTAAATTAAAATAGAATGTTGAGATTTTACATTTTCTTTTGGTGTATGTTCTATTAAATTTGGCTTACATGAAACAACAACAACAACGAAAATCTTGAATTTGAACCCTGATTGACAATTGTTCGAGTTTCTCCTTGAATGTTGGGTCCATGATTAGGGGGACCATAACACTTGCTGTGCATGGCATCCAAGATACTTAATCTGACTCTAGTTATCAGCAATAATTATGAGTAAAGGTACATGCAACATGCAAGGATTATTATATGCAGGTTTTCCACTTTTATGTTATTAACATTACAAAGTCATATGTATGTGCATTATATGTACACTGTATACTTGTTATCACTTTTTACATTTGTCAGTTGCAATGTGTACTTTTCTATTTTACAAAATAAACAGAATATCAACATGCACAAACTTGTATGTAAAAGGAGTGTCCTAGGATGGTTTAAAGCTAACAATTCCACCAAGTACATACAGTATGCAGTAACATTAAAAACAAAAAACTATTCTTAATCTTGTACTATGGAATAACTTACCATTGAACGAAAGCGCTCCTGACCAGCTGTGTCCCATATCTGCAATTTAACATGGAAACCTTGAATAGTCCTATTAAAAAACAATTTAGATTTTAACTATTTCAATATTTTGCAAACAATGTGTACAAATTCAGTAAAATTAACTTTAATATTTTGAAAACAATCAAATAAACACTGGACACATCTAACTTCGTAGTTATGTGCATGCATGTGTGTAAAGTGTAATTTTTTAACATGTATGAATACAAAAAAGGATCATAATAAATATGACAAAATAATATCCTTCTTGATAATTTACACAGAACTATGGTGAAAAGCCTTCTTAGAATTTGATTCTTTATAAGGTAAATATTTAAAACTTTGACTTTTGCAAAGAATCATTTTCCCATATGATCTATGTATATGTTAGATAATACTTTATTCATGATTAACCGAATAAACAATAACTATTTTCTTGAATAATTTTTTCATACAGCTGTTATGATAACTTTAGCTAATTTGCCTATAATTGTAACATTTTAGATACAGTAAAATTCACATACATTACACACTGTTTTAAATTATTCAATTCAGTTCCCTATGATAATAAATCTTTAATTAGAATTAGAGTATCATTGGGACCAAATTGGAAAACACATAATACATAATATCTAAACAGATTAAATAAATTTTTGAAGAAAGTGAAGAATTAATGCTAAGGGTTTGTCAAAGTGTTACAAGAGAACAAATATTTAAGAAATGTATCGTACACCTGACTGACTTGTAAACATGCATGTACTAAAATATAATTTGGTAACTTAAACATTTACATTATAAGAATGAACAACTGATACTTAGATTGAGTGATTATTTGGATTTTCTAATCAATTACTAGTGTTCCTCAAACCATGGGGTATATATATACTGCATTACCTCTGAAAGACAACAGCAACAAAAACAAATTGGTGGCAGGTACTGTCAAATAATTGTCTTTCTTCTTTGTCTACAGTTTAAAATTAGTGACATTCACTAATGGCCTTAGTAGATTTGCCATAACAGAGACAAGACGAGCAAGTCTGAACAACTGAACTTAAATTTGAAACCCTTGAATAACTAGCTCTCCCCCATCCCCAAATCACAAAGGCTAAACAAAGTTGAACACAAATATTAAAAAATCAGGCTAAAATTGTGCAAAGCACAAACTGCTCATTATACAGCTTTATGTTTAAAAATAAACAAAATATCAATATTTTGACTACTTGGATAGCTATGATAATCAAAAACCCTAATTTTGATTAATTGATTATTTTCATGACAATCGATTTAATCAGAATTTTGATTAATCAATTGTTGAAAAACCTAAAACAGTAACAATCAATTTAAACATAATTTGGATTAATCGATTGGCTTATGTGACACTGATGTAATTGTTGATCATAGGTAATGAATTAATCAATTAAATCACCCAGCTCTACAGATATAGACCATGAAAAAGGACTTTACTACAAAATAATCAGAAGTTTTTTGAGCTTTTTTAAATTGATACATGTTAATATTCAAGTTTTATTTCAGTAATAGATATTATCACTGCAATATAATACAATTTTGTTTGAATAATGAAACCTGATTCCCAGGTGCATTTGGACCCAAAATATGTACTGTACACAAAGTACATCTTCCTTTCAGTACCTTTGTTTTTTTTACATATAGTGGTTTAAAATGGTTTTAACTTGCAAGCACGTTAAATTATTAACATAATGTATATTCAAATAAATTAAATATTTTTAAAAGTTACTATTATATAAAATTTTAAACTCAATTCAACACTCAGTAGAAGATGTGATAAATTGTGCCCTTCTGGTTACAAGTGTGCCATATGAACATGGTGCTCTCTTTCCTTTAAGAGGACACAGTTTCTGACTGTTTGAACACCATAGAATCAGGGCATTTCAACTGCAACAGTTGTATTAAAATAATAATAATAACTGCATGGCAGACATGGTTCAAATCTGTAGAACTGAATTTTTTTTTTTAATGAAAATACCCTCAAACAAATATTGCCCTGTACCAGCCACTGCTATGGTAACAGTGATTTATTGAAACACACCATTGCAGTGATTCAGATTAAGTCATTAATTGTGCTAAAAACAGTTATTAGTTTGAGACAAAGATATTTCCTCTTATGAAATGAAGACTGAATGTTAAAAATGATTGTATATTCTGCAATCTAGTAAGTCATAATTTGTCATCACAACAATGTACACAATTAGATCAGAAGATAGACTATATATGTAAAAAAAAAAAAATTGCATTTCTAAATTATCAAATTCCATTAAAACTAATTAAAAAATAACATTTTAAGTTAGAATTAAACCAGTTTGTACTAGTAATTACTAATTGCAGTAGTCATATGACATTGCAAAAAATTTAGAAAAAAGGATTTTTCTTGGAAGTACTGCATGGGAAAAGTGTTTTGATTGTGCTGATATAAACTGTAATGTCTTTATATATTAAAAGTGATATCCATTACTGAAAAAATAAGTTTTCTTTTTAAGAACTCCATATTTTTAGTACAATTAAAAAATATAGCAATAAAGATATAATCAAACCCTCAAGTACAGGCCTAGTGAAAGTCATGTTCTTGTTTTGAGGAGAGTACTTTTATTTAAAATTGTGTTAGGTGATAAAGAAATGGTTGTTGCACATACCGTAGTTATTTTTCTAATTGTCTGAACCTTGAATATGCAAAGCATGAAATTTCTTATGGAATTTTTGTTTGTGATGCCATTGAATGGCACCACAATGTACTTATTATTTCGATCACATACATATATACACATTATGTCTATTATAGTAAGTTTATATTAAAAAAAAAAAAATGTATAGACCTCAAGTGGAATGCTTGAATCAATTGCATTTATATGTGTAGTTTTCTTGCCTCTACAACAAAATGTATTTGCTAACATACATCACACGTACACTCGCACATAATACCAAATGAAAGCCAATGGTGATATTGACTGAAACTCAAAAATAAACAGTACATGTAGGTATTCAACATATGAGGGGGATCTTGAATAATGACAATGGTGGACTGAATAACAATGTATCCTGCATGGCTTGTGTATATAAAAAATTAACATATACAAATAAAATATTAATGACATAACACACACACATTCACATCACCTGGATAAGTTTTAATGAGATAAGTCATTTGCTAATACTGATGGGTATTTTGAAGAGTTACCTCATACTCATTATCTCAACAGGTCAAAATGCCTTTCATCACAATACTTTTGTTATTTTATCTGCTTATACTAATTCCACAAATAAATTTAGATGTCATAAGAAACTTACAGTTTACAAGTGAAAAATGATGCACCAATTGTTGGTGAAAGATGGCGACTGAATGCCTTCCCAATGTAACGAACCACAACGCTGGTTTTACCAACACCTAAAAATATAGTAAACACATTATAAAATACAAGTTTTATATTCTAAGACATTTACAACTCTGAAAAAGTTTTTAAGTACTTCATACTATTATGCACGTAAATCACAAGCTTTACTAGATTAATGACTGTGTACAATAAATTAGTTTGTTTTAACTGGAGAAGGAGATGTTTCTATAGAAACCCTTCATACTGTATACAGGTAGATGCATACTGCAGTCTTTGTAAATTACAATATCAGTTGAAACTAGACACGTATCAGTTCTACAATCTGTGCACAGGGAGGGATTCACTAATCAGGGAAACTGGTAGTCACGTGTACTATACAGTACTTGTGAAAAAAAAAATACAGTACACTATATTTACAGTAGTCGTGATAGCTATAGAACATGTATGCAATGAAACATTCACTGTATGGTAATAAAGTTGAAACATCACATAGATAACTAAACAAACATTCAGTGATCTAATTTTTCCTGAAGTTGAACAACATGATTAGATTTATTCCTCAGAGCATACATTTGTAATACTATATTATCTCATTTCCAGTAAATTTTCCTTTTTATGTCCATTTCACTACTAAAATACCTAATAGTTACTTTTCAGTATTCACATTCTTAAAACACACAATTCCATGGTATAATGACATCAAAACATTCTAGTTTACGGAATTCAGAACACATCAAAACCACATGGTGTTTAAATGGAACTGAAACTGTACATATTGTGCATTTATTTCTGAAAAGAAAGTTATACCATGAAGATATGTTAAACGTAAAACACTGTCATTACTAACTGAAAATTTAACTCATTTTATATAAAAACTGTATTAAATTAACTCATATTTCTCACAGAAATTTTACCTAAACTTATATTTGTCTACATACATTGCATTTATGGTAATGAAGAAGAGTTCATAGTACCCAAGCAATTAGAATCATATTGCACATTGTATCTTTTTTCAAAAGAGTATTCATTATTTGTTGTAGATACATATACGAATATATCAAACACATTTTCACAGCTATACATTTCAGAATCAGCTTGATATAACTCTACTGATCATATTCTTTACTAACTGTACACAAATTATCATGCATCATGATACAGATTTAATAAGAGTGAAAATCAAAGTTGCTTTCAAGATCAAAAGATTATGTAAAGAAAATTGTGTATTTATTGACTGAATTCACATAAAAGCCATGCAATTCTGTTTTTGTTCTTGTGAACAGTTCTTATTATCTTGTACATCTATGTTTGATAATAGTACTGTTTATTGGTGTTATTACAAAGATTTTAGGTATGTTGCATGTGACATGATTATTTGTGTATTAAATTTTCTACTCTTCGTACTGTACCATGCTCATCAAAACCTTAAAAATGATTCCAAGCATCAGAATAATCACAAACATATCAGAAATAACATGATGTGTTTACATATTGATGTACATTTGTAGATATTTTGTTTACATTATGTTAAACATAGCCTTCAGAAACAAGTTAATAGAACTAAACCTTAAGATAGAAGAACTTGATATGCCACAAAAACTACTGAACCATGTTTTATGGTTTAATTTCACAGTGTAAAATTTCAAGCTTCATAGGTGTGGTTGAAAAAGCTCTTGCTTGATTTATCTTACCTTTTTCCCTTTGAAAACTACTAACATGATCATATTTCAAACAAATGTTGTAGAAAATGTTCAAGCAAATATAAACTTGTACACATACACACATTTCTAGAGTATGGTGTATGTACAAAAAGAATCAGGTCATTTATGCCTGAAAGCAAAATTTATATATTACCATATAATATTCTGTACAAGGCACAATCTTCGAAAGAGTAACAGAGCTTTAATAAAAACCTGGGTATATATCACAACAAGCAAAACAAAAAATTGCTGTAAAACTTTCCATGTTTAAAATATTAGAAAGGTGTTGTTTGAGAAAAAAGGAAATTAAAGTAACTAGAAAACCAAGAAATTGTAAAGTTTAAGAATCAAAAAACAAATTATCATTATATTCTTATAAATCAATCAAATATTAACTTCAAAATTGAAAGTGATATAGCTATAAACATCAGTTTTAGTTTTTACCATCACTCTGATGATGGTGACAGAATGCCACTACAACATGTGTTTTGTTTTTTATGGCTGTGCCCTGTTTTTAATAAATCTTATTTACTGTGCAACTATTTAATATTGTATTACTTTTAACATTATACATATACCCAAGTGCTGTTCAATATACTTATTTGAAAACACCTCATTCATTCAACTATGTCTCTTCCCCTAGTTAATATTTCCCTGTATAGCAAGAAAAGAATTAAATGGCAGTTTTTCAAATCTTCATTCATAAATATTTTCATGACAAGGATTTGTTTTTACCAATACATGTGTACCTTTATATTTAGCATATTAAGAAACTGTATAGGACCAAAAAAATATATGATGCACAAAACAAGAAATCTGATAACCTGAAAGCATTGGGAAATTAGGCCTTCTGTCTTCAAGGGTGAATTTAGGTATTTTACCTGAAGAGAACTAAAAAGTGTTTGGGTTATACTTTCTTCTTTCATACATCTCTGTACATGTAGCTATAATACACGCATATATATGTAAGTTTAACTGAGCTGTTTAACATAACCTAATATTTTGGGACAACATGGGACCTATTGGTCCATCTCGGCTGTTCCATCATCAAAACTAAATTAAAATGATTAAAAATAAAAAAAATTTTAAACCTAGCCCTTTTCATTCATATACTTATCAAGCTTTTTCTTAAACTCACTTAAGTTTACTGCCTCTACAAAATCTTAAGGCAACCCATTCTAAAGGCCAACCACCCTGTTAGAAAAATAAAGCGGTATTAGCTGAAGATGACTCCTACTTTGCCAAAATTTATATTTGTGTCCCCTATTCCTACTATTCTCATTGTTAAATATAAAAAAAAAAGATGATACATCAACACTATCAATTCCCTTTACAATCTTAAACACCTCAATCAGATACCCCCTAACTTCTTTTTTCAAGAGAAAACAATTTGAGAGATTTCAGCCTTTCCTCATATGACAACACCTTCATCCCAGGCACCATTCTAGTAACCATTTTCTGAACTCTTTCCAACAATTCAATGTCTTACTTAATGCAAGGAGCCCAAGGCTGAACACAATATTCCAAATGTGGCCTAACCAGTAACCTGTACAATAAAAGTATAATTTCTTTAGACTTGTATTCAATATTTCAATAGATACAATCTAAAATCCAATTTGCCCTACTGCCAACAACAGCACACTGCTTGGATGGCTTTAGCGACTGATCAACTATTACACCAAGATCCATTTCCTTCATAAT